TTTAATACAAAGTTTCTCATAAGTTATTCTTATAGTGATTAAAAAATTAAAAGAATATATAGGCACAATTTTTTTTAATTAGCATTTGAAGTTCAAATATTKACAAAAACTCGTCTGTCATCGCGTTTTGGGGCATTAAAAGTGCTTCGATTTTTGACTTCAGTACCTCGTTCGATCAAAAAGTGAATCTAGTTGGTACATTGGGGGATCAATACTAAAAAATATTAGTCAATATTTTTCTAAATAATCGGGATAAACAAACTAAAAATTAAGGGAAAAACAGGAAATTTTACGTACAGTCAGTTTTCGACAAAATCAATTTTGATTTTTGTTGTAACTTTAAAACAAATGACCATTGATACATGAAATTTTCACCGAATGTTAATATAGGTATATTATATCCACCATGAAATTTTCAAAAAATTTTGACCTAAGTTAAACTATTCATAGGGATATGCAATTTTCGATCATAATTAGTTTTTTTAAATTAATATCGATAAAAATTTATTTTTTGGGTATAAAATCTTGAAAATTTATTAAAAGGCTCTTAACATATTGTTACAATAGCAGTTGAAAAATAAAATAAATTCATTTTCACAATTTTTTTTATAAGCATTAAAATTTTGAATTTTGACAAAATACGTAAAAATCACAAAAATCCGCAAATTTTTTTAAGCTAGAAATTCATAAAAAATTTTCTTTTTAAATCTAAAATTTGAAAATTTAATACAAGATTCCTTACAAATTTGTCAATCTTTATCACAAAAAAAAATGTCCACCGGAAATTCAAATTAAATTTTTATTAGCATTTGAATTTCAAATATTGACAAAAATTCGTCATATCATGAATATTCGCAAATTATTTTGCAGTTCAAAATTCATAATATTGTTTGTATTTATATCTAAGGTTATAAAATTCAACACTAAATTTTCCATAAGTTCTGCTTCAAATAGCTATAGAGAAAATTTTAAGCGTCATTATAGGAAAAATGTTTTGAGCGTTTGAGTTTTAAATTTTTATGAATCGCGTAATGATAACGATTTATCCTCAAACCAGGTATATGTATATCTATGATAATATAAGGTATTATGAATTATGATAGAATTATGATAACTACATGATAACTACACTAATTAATTAACCATGCCTTATGCAAAATGCGTCTTAATTGAAAAATAAAATATTTGTTTCCAAATAGAATATAATATGACAATATTTAAATATAATATATCCTAGACTGACAAATCATCTCCGTTCAGAATCGTTTTTCGTATACAATGATACCTATCATTGCATTCAAATCTAACCTACTCTAGTCAGAGGTCCACCCCACCAACTAATGTACAGCAGAGCGATACCCACTTTCACGCTTTTTTTATTATTATCATTATAACATGTTATTTTTCATGAAATACTAAATAKTATAATATCAATAAAAATAATTGAATTAATTCGCTCATGTTTTGTGAAGGTAGATCGAAGATACGTATTAGGATACATTGAATCAAATATGTGTATCATAGATGTCTTATAAATTATTTAATTTCGTAGTTATAAAACTAATGAGGATATTAATATTATAGGTTATACATACTTGCACCTATATAATTCAGACGATAGTTTAAAAAAAAAGTATTGCATCGAAATTAACTATATAATAACAATATGTATATCTAAGAATTTTACCAACCGTATTAAATTATTAATTTTATTTTTTATATTTATTTATGTTAGTTTATATAACTGAGATGTTTTAGTGGTGGGTGCAAAATAGTCACTTTTGCCACGTTGGCACGGGGGTGATGGATATCGAATATCCAATTGTGCAAAGCTATATATTATGATAATGTACCTAAATACCTAATAAAGTTTCATATATTTTGTGTACACGCGTGTTGACGGGTTGCTGAATAATACGATAATTTCGGTAATTTGTAGACATCAAGACTGCGGAAATCACACTAGCGAACAACCAAAAATCTATAATTACGTTTCAAGTACGGAAAGCCCGTTGACTTGGGATGAATATATTAGAGGAATGACCGAGCATTACTATGTGTCACCTCCCTTGCGGTCAATGTGGTACGGGTTTTATCTTATGTACACAAACTTGTGGATTGGCATGATTTTGAAATTTTTCCTACACCGGATACCAGCTGCATTTATGGACTTTTTATTAATCATAACCGGAAAAAGTCCCAAGTAAGTGATTTATTGATTTATTGTTTTATTTATTTTGCAACATTATTATTGTTACGGTGATGGTAAAACCCGAAAGCCACCTTCTACAAAATCGCAAAACCATATAGCGTTAGCAATGTGGGACCAATTGACCATTATCAATTACCATTAATTGAACTTTAAGTTGAGTTATTAGTATATATATAAGATGTATAAGTAAAATTTAAAGTTGAAACATTAAAAGTTAGTTTTCTCTWTATTTAATTTGTATGAGTTACAACTTTAAGTTGAATAGAAAAAAGTGGGAAAATATCTATTGTTAATATTAACATCTTACAATAGTCTCTATGATTTTTTGAAATCGAATGAATTGTTTTGTTACGTCCTGTAATTATAGTTTTGCAAGCTATAATCTACCTATTTACATATATTTACATTTTGACAATTTATATTTATTATGTAACGCCAAGTTCTTAAAAAAAATAACCATATTATATTAACAAAATAATTACACTGCCACGTCTATAATGAGTACATAATTATTAAAATATTTTGTTCAGAATGTTGAAAATGTATGCGAAGACAGAATTCATGACGGGTTTACTTCGGGTGTTTACTACGAAGCAATGGAAATTCGATAACAGCAATATCGTCGAATTGTTATCGTCACTAAGTATAGAAGACCGCGACCAATTTGAGTTTAGTATGGACAATTTCGACTGGAAATCATACATTAAAAGCTATTAYTACGGGATCAGAAAACATATACTACACGAAGAATTGAGTAACCTCGAAAAAGCGCTATCTAAAAACTGGAAGTATGTATATTTATTTTTTTTACTAAACATTTTAGCTTACAATTTTACAATTACATTTTTATTTATAAGTTTTTACAAATTAGTCACTTAAAGCTATTTAATACCTAATTAGATGCTGTTTGCTGTTTTCTACTTTTAATGACTTGAGGAATACTAAAATTTTTTCTGGTTGGCAGTTGGGACCGATTATTCCGTACAGGCTAGATGATATATTGTGATTTTTCATTTCTTCTTTGTTGACTCTGCACTCGGTCATCAAATGTTTAACCGTGAGGGTCGTTCCGCATTGGGTGCATTCAGTTGGAGTTTGTTTATTCATGAGGTGTCCGCGTGTGACCGATTCTTAATTTGGTTATTGTTATTTGTGCAAATATTAGTGTATATAATTTCATTTAAAATGAATAATTATATTTCATAATATATTATTATTTATAATTCATCATGCATATCAGTATACCTATAAGTTATAGTTAACTAGGCTATAACCTATGTTACAAGATAAAAAAAAAAATTAATAATTGAAAAATAGGTAGGTACACATATGCCAAAAATAAATGTTCAAATAAATTATAGTTTTTTAAAATCTATATATAATATATATTTAAAAGAAACTATTTACTTATATTTCCGTTATCTAAACGAATATCACATTCATTGTGGTTATTTACAAACTTCAAGGCACTATTATATTGAGTAGGTACCTATTATAGACACGTTATAATACATTGATTAGTTAATATTAAAATCATAAATTTTAACATTTATTTCTATAGAAGTGGCTTGACACAAACAACGATGATTGGCATGAGCACCAAAATAAAATAAGAAGGAAATGTATAGATATGGGTGTCCGGAATTTGAGCCGCATTATCCTTTTTTCAATAAAGGAGTAGATAACTACGATAACTATATTAACTGGACCACTAAAATTTTMCATTCATAAAACGCGCACYCGGAAAATTATTTATGTAATTCATATTTAATTGCATTTATAAATTACCTATTATGTTAAAAGTAATTTAAATTAAGCTGTAAATATATAGCCTAATTACTTGTACCATTTGAGAATGTTATACTTTTATTATACCCGGGCTATAAAATATAAAAATAAATGTGGCCCAATTCATCAGTTAAAAAATATCAAACGTATATTAATTAAACTTAAAGACAAATTTATTTATTACTTACTCTAGTTTTACATATAATTATTATACTAATATGATTCCTATAAATGTATAATAGTATGCTTATTATTTAATATAAAATGAAAAATGCCGATTTATAAATTATAAATACATAGTGTAAATGCGTAATACCTAAATTATATACATATTGTATATACATATATATATTATATTGACACTTTAAAGTATATAATTTTATTTTATTATTACTTTCATCATGAAATAATAATTATGATTATCATGAAAGTTTCATGATAATCATAATTATATTTCCTAATTAGATAACTATAATATCATATTATTTCGAAGAATAATTTGTAGATGTATAATTATAAAATGCCACTTCACTATATCACACACATTTTGATAACTAAGTGTAAGAATTTTTTGTTTAATCTTTTGTGTTATGTAGTGCACCTATATGTAAATAATATATGTATCATAAAACCGTCCAAAAGGTATTGCACTTATCTGCAATAATTCTTGAAGTTCTCTTATCTATAATTGGTAAATATTTTTATTTTAAACGCCAGGGTCGTGAAAAATATAATACGGYCAGTTTAGCTCCTTAAAACTCATAAGCTTCAATGCGCATTCTCCAACAAACGCATAAGGGTGAAACACGATTGTTTTAAATAACGCGTGAATTTTTACACATAACGCTTTTCTGCTATTAATTATTATTAACAATTTTCTTATATCAAGAAGTGTGTAACGTCCAATGTCAAAAAWATTGCTTAACCGTCCTAACCTAAMCTTATAAKTTATGGCTATATTTTATACGTACTTACATTTTTATAGATTTATTTTATAATTTTAATATTTTAATGTTTTTTATTAATTTTTCAGGTTATTCTGGCTGCATAAACTGTTTATCGTCCTTTTTTTCTACTCCATATTGCAATTGTGTTGGATGTGTATGAGATATATATGTTCATTTTAAATTAAATACAGTAATAATTATATTATGAATGTATAAACTATATAATCATCGGCCAGCCATATGATTGCGAAGTGATAAATTATAAATAATATTAATTGTAATGTTAGAAATATAGATCATATTTTTTTAAGAAAACATCAATATTTTTTATGTACTGCATGTAAGGCATATTATTTATTTAAATAATGTACCTATTATTATTAAATTAAAATAAATTAATAACATGTTTACGAATACTGTTTTGTAAGAAGTTATATTTAGTGGTTCGGTGACGTCTTAAATTACGTCAAATAATATTAAAAATGGTGGTTTATGAAATGACTCATCATTATAAAGCTTCATCATCTACATATGTGCATATAAAGTAGTATCTCAATGTCATTACCCATTGACTTTTAGTGGCATATTTTTTCTCCGAACTTTGAGATTCTAGTCCTACGAGATCAAGTAGGATGGCCATAATTCTCGTTAAATATATTTATAGGATTGTACTTTTTTTTAAGCAAGTGTGCTCTTGAGTGACGACGAATTCATTATATTCAGCGATAGTCACATGATAATATTTTACTGTTCAATACATCCAATGTAAATATTGTGAAGCCACGCTATTACCGCAACATTTTTCAACGATAATAAGTGCCAACAGCACGACAGTAAACTGCTCATCTAGTAGGCAAACATTATCTTCGAAACATTTATAAAAATATATTAAACATTTTTCTACAGTTTTGGGAGGTTTTTTTCTATACAATCAAACCAAAATATGTGCAGGGGTATATTATGCAGGTCCACATATATATATTATATATAATATATAAGAGTGACTTAATGTCATAATTATCATCAACATGGTTTTTGTTTGACTATAGGTGTCTTACGCGTAATACAATTTTTCAGATACGATTCCTATTACATGCGTCTTGTTTGTTTCAATATAGTATATTATAATATTATTAAATTRCATCGTCCACGGTGATCGTTAATGTTTTCTCAATCAACGGATCTGTTGTTGTATCGTTGCGCAGAGAAACACAGTTTCGACTCGGTGAAAATCGTACGAGATTATATGATTAATACGGTAGCCGATATGATTCAGTTCCAGTTCGAAACATGTCGTTTTTGCGCGAGCGACTAGACGGYGATGGGCAGAGAAAAATACTGCTTGTCAGATCCACCACCACTAGTGGGCATCACTCGGACAGCCTAGTCAGCCGACTCAGCCGCGTAAGGCCGCGCACTGTCGCTCCRTCGTTGACGGACGACGGGCTAATGTATTACGCCATGTCYTATACGTGAATCCGACGAGTGCGACTCTTGCGAACGAATTCTATTCTGACCAAAATACGATGCGCCCGATGCTACAAAATACAAACTGTTTTGTTTTTCGTCGCGTAGGTCGGATTCACGTAGGACACGGCATTAGGCCAGCGTTGCAGTATCTTCATCGTCATCGTCGTCGAAGTCCGGACAGTGGATGCGGCCGCTGTTGAGCCTGCAGTCATCGATAAACAGCGTGACGGCGGATGACGAAAAATGTGCACCGAACCTGCGGTCTTTTCGGCCACAGGTGGTCGCGACCCTATCACTCTGTTCCGACGAGTAAGGTTCGCTCTCCTCGGACATGGTACTCGTGATCAATATCCTGAGCAATATGTGCCGGACGAACGCGCTGCGGTTGCAGCACACCACAGCACACCAGCGGCCCCGGTCAGACCCGTCGTCTTTGGTGGTTGATGCGAATATAGCATAAAAGTATATCACCGCCTGATGGATGAACCACCGCCGCTAGCACAACCAACAAAATCACCGGCGCTGCTGTCGAAACGGACGTTCACGTAAAAGTTACCAAAGACCAGAACGTTGGCTGAACACGTGGCGACGGCAGACGTCTGGCTGCCATCGCCGCCGGCGGTTCGCCTGYCTCGGACAGGCTCATCAGGGACGACCGGTGGCTGCACTGCAGCAGCACCAGCGGTGCGGCCGCCGGAACCACTGGCGGTTTGACGTGGCCGACCGTCGCAGCTACCGGTATCAGTGAAAGTCTGCGTGGCCAGCACGCCGAAGTCGGCCGTGCCTGAATTTCCTAGTTCACCTTGCACTTTATTATCGTTTTGCGCCGTTAGTTCTGCAGGTAGGTACTTCGTTTTCAGTAGCTCGTTCTTGATACCGTACAGCAGCCCGTTGCACAGCGCAGAACCGGTGATGATGAGAGCGGACGACAGCGATTTCACGTCCGGGTCGGTGCGTGGCGCTGCAAGTAGAACACGGCCAGCAAGCCGATGATCTGGAACACGCCGGAAAGAAAGGAAGAACGGATCTCGAGACCTGTATCGACAGCGTCACTTCGAATATCGCCGACGCTATGCGCGCGGTGCCTGTGAAACCCATGGTGAACATCTGCGAACGACAATGTTTCACGTGGCGATCGATAAATAATAATAATAATTAACCTACAAGTTMATTTATATTTTCACTCAACATATTTCACCTGTGTGTGCGTTTTAGAATTATGTTAAATAGGTACTATATTATACACATTGTTTTAAATCAATTGAATTCGTTTTTTCAACGAGCATCTCGCATAATTTAACGGATCTATAATGTTATTATTGTATTCTATTGTAGAGCGCGTAAATGCCCAAACAATAAACCACTACATCAGCAGTACTAAACACTAAAGTAATACCTAGTCATATAGAAAATGGTATAAAAAATAATTGCTCTATACAATGGCAAAGGCCATGATCTTATATCTGTAATGTACCGATGAGAAAACAGCGTAACGGCCTAGTTTATTTGTGCATTTTAAGTTCTTGCGAGAACTCTTCATAATACGTGGATGCTGCCGGGGATGGGCAAATTACCAACAAAAAAAAAAGTAATTTATTACAAATTACAAATTACTCAAAATACCAGTAATCAATTACAAATTACTAATTACATGATTGTAGAACATTTAATTACAAATTACAAATTACATAATTGAATTACTTATACAATTACCAATTACATTTAAAAATGTTATTAGTTTATTACAATTGTATTAGTTAATTATATTATTATATGATAAAAAGTGTATAAATTAAATCAAAAAAACAAAAAACATTGGAAAAATATAATAAAATATAATATAAATTAGATAACCCCGTAATTTTGGTTACCTTTTCATTCATCAGCGTTCGTTTTAGTAATTTTTTACTTATTAATAAATAAGGAAAAAGTAAAAYGATTTTAAATTTTTAAGTCGTTATTAGTGACGGACGAAAACGAGATGGTTACTAAAGCCTGTACGTAGACACTAAGTGTACAATCAGTACAATTGTCAATTTATACATAGAACAAGGACAATAAGATAGTACCTATAATGTATAATATTATATCTGTCTATATTATCTGTATTTTGTAGTAATGTTCATCATAAAATTATCTTTTAGTATCGGTACCGAATGTTCGATAAAACTTATGCTGTATAACTTATATATATATATGATATATTGTACATTGTAGAAAATCTTAAATTCTAAATTTGTATCATTGAAAAATTGTAATTCTTTATACCAATTACAAATTACATCAACATTTAATAATTAATTACCAATTACATCAATATTTAATAATTAATTACCAATTACAAATTACTGTAATTGAAAAGTGCCCAACCCTGGATGCTGCAGTTATGCCCAAACAAAAGTGGTTCACAGAACATGGCAGCGACTTAGCGAATTTTTTTTTAAAATTATATTATGATTTTATATCATAACAGCAGTTGTTCATAAATTCATCACGATAACGGAATACAAATATTTAAATATAGTAATAAATAGATGATAATTATGCATGAAAACATGATCTTATTATAATATATTTAACTTTTAGAAAAGGATGAACGCCGAACGGTAGTCGTTTTGTGGTGAATAAGTGTTGCAAGTCGTCACATTGAATGATTATAATTTATAAGATATGAATATATTTCGTGATGAATTTTAAATAAGATGTGATTACACTGAAATTATTCACTTAGACAGCCGTATGTCCTCGCGAAGTATAACTGTACAACACACGCACTGTCTGTTCAAATATTGTGTTTGTATATAGCGTATTAAATAATTATGTGCGTTTTATTATTTTATCCAGCGCGACGGTAGTGGCGCGAAGCTGAGTAAAAAAAAAAAAAAAGCGAAGTGGTCACTACCATAGTACATTACACGAGCCAGAGTTTGCCCATTGGATGTGTGTAAATTTGCCGGTTTTCTTTAGCCAGGGCTACAGACCTAATGAATGAACGGATTGGTCTGTTTGTAGTATCAATAGATCGGTCATGATTTGTAGATTATACCTTTGTCATTTTAGAAAAAATTGGTTGAATAATGCCGAATATATTAGCAAAAAAGTCAAGTATTTTCGAAGCAAAAAGATATTGTGCTTAATTATAATTATAACGTTTTCACGCAGCAGCGCGCGAGACCATATTACCCCCTCTATTCCGTATACGTTTACGTCGCGGTGGGTACACTGGGCAGCTGCGGTTGCCTGCGTCTTTGCTTATCGTATTCGTAATTTCTGATATCGACATTCATGTTTCTGGCATCTGGCTACATTCGATGTAGATGCGTATAGCCGCCGCCGCCGGTAGGAAAACCACTTTTTGTTGTTGTCTCGTTTGTTGTAGTTGTAGTAGGCCGTACTATACTACTATATTATTTATTTATATTATAATTTGTGATTCTTTATTTCTAAAATGGTTTCTAAAACATCTAAACAGAAATTACGAAAAAGGAGAAATTATTTAGAAAAAAAAACGTCAAATACAATGTGTATAGATGAATTTTTATTAAAGATAATAAATAAATGGCTACGATGATGTAATGACACTGCAATACATTTTGAACGATGGCCTCGAGGAGCTAAAAATGTGCATAATATTATAATAATGGGGGAAAAAAAATGAATATGGTTTTTAAAATAGAGTATATTAAATAAACAAACATATAATAATAAAATTAATTAATAAAAACATAAAAAGTTACATGTATTACATGCCAGTACATAAAAATATGTTATAAAAAACTACTGATATCCCAACAAAAACACTTCGTCGAACTCCGTGTAAAAAATTGCTAAGTAATAAAAACTAGTCATCTAT